TGACAAGGTAAGAATTTGCAAATGCAAACACCCGTGCCAAAATATGTCGTCTCATTTCACGCCCTCTTCGTTATCCTCCTGCACAACACAGAACTGCACATTTGTGGTGCTCGGTGACAAGGAAGTCGACTACGATTGCAACTTCCGACTCTACCTCAACACGAAGCTGTCTAATCCGAGGTACGGGCCAAGGGTGTTCGGCGATGCGATTGTCATCAACTGCACCATCACCGAGGCGGCGCTGGAAGACCAGCTGCTCGGAATCATCGTCAGACACGAGCAGAGCAGTTTGGAGGAGAAGAGGCAAATGCTGGTTCACACAATCAGGTCCGTCTGCGCCATCTGGCCTGTAGTGAATTTACCTTTTTGTGCAATGTTCTCACATTAATTTACACAGCGATATTTGATTATGCCAAAGAAGCACAGTCTTGATGAAGTTGGGAAGAAATTAAGGAAGACACGGATCAGAGGTGTTGAGTAGTTTTAGCTGTTTGTGTAAATCGTTCCTGCCATTTTTGTTAGGTTCATTGTTCTTTGATAAGGCGGTGGAAGTCATTCACGACACGGCCCGATATTCACGAAAATCAAATCGCGAATGATTTAAATCGTGTGTGTCATTAGTGGCAAACCAATGTGCATTTCAGCTTTGGCTAATCTCTTCATTAGAGTGTGTGAGCATGACCTGAACGGAGGCATTCTCAGTTGGTCTGTTCAAGGTCACATGTCAAATTCCCAAGAGGACCAATCATAGTTAACGGGTCGGCTTTGCTATCCAAATACATAAACAGATTGATTAACTTTCTTCGTTAATGAGGGCAATTGAGCTCTACCTGGGAGCTTGCAATGTTCAAATAATGCTGACTTAAATAACGAGGGCTGTGAAACCGCTACTAATTACGGTGCTGCAGTGGACGCAAGGGATCCAGTGGTCTGGTAGACTTATCGTTGCAGCCATGTCGAACCTCGTATAGAAGCGTCTTCAGTCTCAGCCAATAGCCGAGTGTCCATTCCTATGCGCCTACTCACAAACGGCGTTGGCGACCTTGAGATGAATGGGCCAATAAGGGGGGGGCGGCCGATTTGAATACAATAAATTGTGTGCATCAACGCGAACAATTAAGAAAAGACAAGTACTTTGGACTTCTGCATGGTTTTGCCCTCAATACTTGCAACCTTTGACTAACACCGAATTGACCGGTGAAAATGACATGGTGAATGAAGATACCCTCTTCTCTTGCAGCGAGAACAAACAGATCCTGAAGGATCTCGAGGATACTATGCTCATGAATCTCACTCTGAGTACCGGCAACCTTCTGGACAACGAAGAGCTCATTAAAACCACCGAGAGCACCAAGGTCAAGGCCACGGAGACGACGGAAAAACTTGCCCTCGCGGCAAAGACGTCTGCGGAAGTGGAACAATTGAGTGACGCTTACCGTCCCGTGGCTACACGCGGCGCTAGTCTCTTCTTCATCCTCAATGACATGTGCCTCGTTAATCCAATGTACCAATTCGCACTGGGCGCCTACCTTGAGTTGTTTGAATGCGCGCTGCGCAGGAGCATGCCTGATACAAATTTAAACAAACGACTGGCCAACATTACAGCCACACTGACTGAAGCTGTCTACACGTATGGATGCACAGGCTAGTTAACCAATTCTTTTATTATCTTTGCACAGGAAAGACTAGTTAATTTTGACACCTAAAATGCAGCAAATTTATTTATGATAAAAGTTAGAGAACAACAAACTTAATCTTGGAAATGTTGTCCATCGTTTTCTATGATCTTGCGCCATCTCTCAGGTGGCATACAAATGCCGTCGCGAAAGAGACTTGTTGGCTTCAAGGCAATAAAGTCGTCTACGAAATTTACGCACACTAGTTAGCGTCCGCATTGACTGGAAGAAATTGTAGTAGGATCGAGAGTCAAGTCTGGTGAATATTCCGTGTGTGGGATAACTTCCCATCCCAGGTTCAAGAGGGTCTTCTGAGTCTCGCGAGCAACGCGAGGTGGTTGAGCGTTGTCCTTGTCCTGTAAATGGCTTCTTCCGATCAAGTTCTTCGATCAGTTTGCTCAACTCCCGGCTGTAGCCTTCTGCAGCCGCCGTCTGGTGACCAGTTTCTAGTAGTTCGTAATAAGGTTCATTCTTCATGTCGCACCAGATATACAGGAGAGCCTTATTCAAGCAGATGTCCTGTTTCAGCGGTTTGCCTACGACTTCTTATGTTTTGGGTTCTCACGAAGAATATGCTTTTCATCGCTCGTCCCAATTTTCCACCAGAAGTTCTTTGTTGTTACCGGTGAGTAGGCAGTAAAGGGCATGTCAAATGTTGACCGAGGTTGTGTTCGGTCAATACAAGTGGAAGGACCTAGCTTCCTTGTTTTTGAAATAGGAGCTTGGGTGTCTCCTAACTAAGCTGCAAACTCTTGTTGTGTTTGCGTTGAGTCGTCATCCAGCAGAACTTGAAAATCCGCATCCTCAACCTCTCGAGGCTGCTGTCCGGCGCTCGGCTGGTCACTGCCACTTCTAATACGTTTGTACCATTAATTACACGTTTCATAGACACAGCATCGGCTCCAAGAACACTTCTAATTGATTCCTGTGCTGTAGGAGCATTTTCCCTTGTTGAATTTCAAATGAACTGCCCTGCCGAATGTGCTGTTTATTAAGTTGACATCGTAGATTCTGATAATCCGAGAGGTTATGTTACTCACGTAGACTTGTTGTCCGGCATTCTGAAACCCTGCGTCCGATAATTTCAAAGCCACAAAATTGCGTTCATCCTGCGGCGTTTACTCGGCCACTTGCAGTTACCCGATTTCTGCGGTAAAACGTTAAAAGTGCCAGAACGTGGTGAGAATTCGGGCTTCATTTGATGTCCTGGAACACGTGTGCACCACCTGCGGTGTCCAGTGGATACGGCGCCAGTCCCCTAATGAGGGACAGGAAGTGGCCCGCCCCCACCTCCACCTTGCTGTTCGTGGAGTCAAAGCAGGTCCCAACAGAAGCCTTGCCAGGTTCACGAAGACGTTAACCCTTAATTTACCAAAATTGGTTTAGAAGTGGGGTGTACACTTTCCTGGGTTAGCAATTCAACCCCTATAGATGAATCAGTAGAGACGTACATGAATAATTTCATAGAAATTGGGTATTTTATCTCAAATTACCTATGCGGCCTCCTCTCTAGGTCTGTTTGAACGTCACAAGCTGCTATTCAGTTTCCAAATATGCCTGAAATTGCAAGTGGACGCTGGGAATGTGAGCCAAAGTGAGGTTGATTTCTTCATAAAGGGAGACGTATCAGTCGACGGTGAAGTCAGCCAATGTCCGGTCCCCTGGCTCACCAACGTCAACTGGAGGGACATTGTGCGCCTGGAAGGCCTGCTTGCCGCTCCATTCAACGGACTGAGCAAGAGTATTCTTGATGATCAGCAGGCATGGTACAAGGTGAGGACAGATCGATTGGTTTTGGTGTTTTGCCTAAATGCACTGAAATCCACCAATCGTGATTTGCCTTTCAGTGGTTTTCTGACAGCTCACCAGAGCGTGGTCGGCCGCCATTTCCGGAGGCCATGTCGAGCTTCCAAGGACTTTGTCTGATTCGTTGTATTCGAGTGGACCGTGTATGTCGCGCCGTTGAAGGCTTTATTAGCGAAACCTTGGGTGAACGCTTCTTGACGCTCAACGAGCCGAATCTGGACTCGATTTACGAGCAGAGTCAGGCATCAACTGCCATACTCTTCATCCTTAGTCCGGGCTCCGATCCAACCGAGGGATTGAAAAAGTTGGCCCAAAACGTTGGTCTCGATCCATCTAGTCGGCTGAAGTTCCTGTCTTTGGGCCAGGGCCAGGAGGCGTCTGCATTGAAGCTGCTCAAAGCTGCCAGTTCACAGGGCTCGTGGGTCGTGCTCCAGAATTGTCACTTACTGGTCAAGTGGATGCCGACGTTGGAGAAGGAAATTGCCGCAGCCGAGAACCTGCATCCGGACTTTCGTCTGTGGCTCACCACTGAACCGACGCCTGACTTTCCCGTCGGCCTCCTTCAGCACTCCTTCAAAGTGGTCACTGAACCCTTAAGAGGACTTAAAAGGAACGTGCGTGCCACCTTCCAGGACATCTCCAAGTCCACATTTGCAGAGTGCGCACATGCCGCGTTTCCGGTGTTGGCATTCACCCTTTCATTTTTCCACGCCGTGGTACAAGAACGACGGCAGTACGGGAAGTTGGGCTGGAACATCCCCTACGACTTCAGTCAATCCGATTTCCACGCTAGCCTGAGGGTGATCTTAGACCAGCTGGAGTCGTCGCAAAGTAGTCGCGACATTCCGTGGGGAAGCCTAAGATTCCTGATTGAGGAAATCATGTACGGTGGACGAGTTATGGACGCCTTCGATCGACGTGTCTTGCATACGTACATGCGCGAGTATTTTGGCGACTTTCTTTTCGACAACTCCCAACTATTCCACTTCTTTGTGAACGAGCACGTGGACTACGGCATTCCCCGTGACACCACAAGGGAAGGGATCTTGGGTAAGTATCGAAAATTAGCCAACGTGGACGTCCTTTTTAGCTCATTGGTCTGAGTCTTCCATCACTCAGTTCAATCAGGTATAACTGCGGTTCTTGCTATGCGCCATTAAGTCACCTTTAGTGCATATTTTGATGGCTTTGTTAATGAAAATCGTCAAAGGTATAAAGAGTGGTAGTTCATTTTGCCTTCAAATGACAACCAATGATCAAAATTTTGAAAAAAAACTACTCATCTGCATTGAATTCCGAGTAGTTGGTTGGTAGTTGCGTAAACCCAACTCCTCGTGTGTGTGCAGTTAGTCGATAGTTTAATTGCAACGAAAGGTGATTTATTACTAACGTATTTGAAGTATCAACGCACACAAACGTCAATTTAAATCATTCCCCGATTTAAAAAAATGATTTTGTGATCTTGATGAATCCGGCGCTTCTGAGGCAACCAATATGCAGCCTAAAAATGGCCATCCAAACCACGGACATCTTGTGCTGCTTGGGCATACCTATCGGAGTAGTTAGTTTCCCTTGGCCGGTTTCTTAAAAAAATCCCCATTTGAGGGTTCTTAGCACTGACTCCCAGTCTAGTTACCAGTTCACCACCGTGCACGTCTGTGTTTGGGATTAGTCGGTGATTGCCATGATGCCAGGACTCAAACTTGCGTTGAGGCAGATACATCGATGAAAATGAGAACACCTGGGCCAATAAGGACTTAATTCGTTGCTAAGTGACCTACCACTTTGCGCCAGCAGACTTCCTCAAGACTGGAGCCAGTGATCGCTAGTGACCTTAGTCAATAGAGGTCAGATGACAGATAGGATGAGGAGTGTGTATTGAAATTGTGGGTAAGTAGGTAGGTAGGCCAAGTGCGCGGGACAATTGCTAAACCGTGTTCCGTAAATTTACAAACTCCTAGTTTCAGACCTGTAGGGCTGTGGAATTAGCAAAATCTTACAAAGCAGCTATTTTTTGCATGTTTTGAGTAAATCCGAATCCACTCAACCCTAAGTGGAACTCGGGTGATCCCAAAAGAAGGTTAATTTCGAGGTCCTGTGGTCTTTTTCCTCCCTGGACCTGGTGACTCATAAATTTGTTTAGCACCAAGGCTGTAGACTTGTCTGAAGCCGAATAAAACCTAAATAAGCTGTAATTCAAGTCAATAAAGTCATTAAGAATGACGACTTGGTTTTATTTTAACCTAGAAGAACTGTCCATGCGGTCCAGAGTCACATTCCAAAAATCCGAGTCTACCAGTTGAAAGTTGGAAAGGCGAATAAAATGGCAAGGAAGGTCATGTTTGTATTAAGAAGTTTGTAATTTTTCAGTTGTGAATTACCCTAGATACTCGGGATTCGGACAAAATTGATTTATTTGTGGAATTTCCGACCTCGCTGAAACCAATTAAGATCTTGTCACTGCTTAAAACACTCCACCAATCGCGCCGCATTTCAAAATCGGCTAATTCTGATATCTCCTCAACACGTATTGGTTAATTCTCACTGATTGGAATTTGGTGTGCGCCGATGCCATAGCACAGTTACCATGGCAACGTCCAATAAATCAGTATAGATCATGTAAAAGCAGTTGGAAATTCAAAATAACTGCTCAAAAATAGCGTGATTCGAGCTGCGATCACCAAAATCAAATCTTGGTTTTAAGGCGCTTCTTTTCTTCTGTTCCTGGTAGGCTACATTGACACATTCCCGATAAACAATTCACCGGAAGTGTTGGGTTTGCACGCGAACGCGGAGATCGACTGTTTCGTGACCCAGGCGCACGCTCTGTGGGGTCACCTGCTCAGCCTGCGGCGAGAAGGCAAGGCCACGGTGAGTGGTGAAGCCACAGTCGAGTCAATGGCGGACGTGGAACAGGTCGCGGACACCCTGCTTCAAGCTCTTCCCGGTGCTTTTGACACCACTGTTGTTAGAGAAGCGTTCAAAGAGAAGATGACGCCGACGGCTGTTGTGCTCCTGCAGGTAGTTGACCTTGAACGTTGATTGGAAGCACTCATTTGTCATGCTTTTTGACCATTCCACGCCTTACCCTCTGTTGTGAAGAGCTACTCAAACCTGTGCAATTCCAACTGCGCAATTTCATTGCCAGTTATTGCCTTCTCGCCTACCACATAGCACACACAATTTCTCACAATCCCAAGGCCAAATTGTCCTGTTTTCTAATTGCGCTCTTTGTTAATTGTAGGAACTGGAGCACGTGAATCGTCTGACCAACCAGATGCACAGCTCGTTGACAGAGCTGAGGCGAGCTCTGTCTGGCGAAGCGAGTCTCTCCGGTGACCTTGAGGACGTGGTGCAGTGTCTGCGCAACGGTCGATTGCCCAATTCCTGGCGACTCCTTTCGCCTCCAACGCGGAAATCGTTGGCCAACTGGTTCACTCATTTCCGTCAAAGGATAGACCAGTATAAGCTCTGGGTAGGTGTGACTTGTTGCGGGCATACACAGGGCTCGTTTTGTTTTAGTGAAGCATCACTTCCTCAATTAACCAATCACGTACCCGCGGTCTTTTCAAAACAGACCTATTCTAATTGATTAAGCAGACGGAAAGGCCTCAGCAGGCAGTTAATGAACCAGGTTGATGTAGAGCACAGATACTCACTTTTGTCCGAAGTCACCTGAATTTTTATCTACAAGTACTCAGAAAGATGGCCTTGGTAGTGCAGTGGCCTTTTTTCCTACTTATTCTGTGTTAATGGCCAATTTCTCGAGGGCATATCTCGTTCTTAGACGACATCAGGAGAGCCAGTGGTTATGTGGCTGTCTGGTCTCCACGTTCCTGAATCCTACCTATCAGCCGTAGTTCAGGCGACGTGTCGCAGAAACGGTTGGCCTTTGGACAAGAGCGCAATCTTCACCAGCGTAACCCAATTCACCGACCCAAGCACAGTTGAAGACAGGAATCAGGCGGGGTGTCTGTTGCAGGGCCTCTTTATCGAAGGAGCTGCGTGGGACTGTCACGCGAGCTGTCTCAAACTCCAGCCGCCACGTCAGCTGATCGAGTGTTTGCCAGTGTTGAGCGTCCATGTGACGGAACAGCGACGCGTGAAGCGCTGTTCCACCCTGCGAACCCCCGTCTACGTCACGACAGAACGGTCGACCCCCAACTCCAGCGGTGTGGTGTTTGAAGCCGATCTGGCTGTTGGTGATGAACGCGATGCAAGCCATTGGATCCTTCAGGGCGTCTGTCTGTTGTTGAATGACGACTGAATTTCTCCCTACGTGAACTCCTCACAACACCATCATGGAATTTCACTAGTTTTCTTAATTGCCTTTTTATCACCGCGATTCTAATCACTTGGATTTCCATAACACTTTTCGGCAGATACATGTGCCTACCATTCGGAAATGGCCCTTATAAATGTCCTTAATCTTCTATTCCACCGTAAATCTGCTTTTCCAGATGAAATCATTGGCCTTTGGAGTGTTTCAGTTGCAAAATTCATACGAAAAATATATGTAATACCAGTTTCCTACCATATCAACCACTGCGTCAAAAATAGATCGAGGCATAATGTGATTGGTTCATTTAGCGAAGCGATCTGAGGCTAACACCAATAGCAATCGACCCTGTGCTTGACTGACGCATGGGCCCTAACGCGGTCGATATTCTTGAGTTCTTCAAAATAGTGTCAGAGCCAGGACCGTGGGACACCTTCAACTTCTGGAATAAGCGCTTATCCGATGAAGCAAGTGTAGTGCACTTTCGCTTGTCCGTTTACACCTAACTAGTTTCCTTAGAATCTTTGGACATTCTAACTTAGATTTCGATCGACTTTTGTTATATACAATGAAATGATTGGTTGAAACACCTTCCACCAATGGCGCTAGGCCTTTTTTGTGCTCACAACAGGTCGAATAACATTTATTCAACACCCACAACGGAATACCTAATGCTGCAAGCAAACGGGTTTTAATGACCGCCTGGCCATGTTGAAAATGAAGGGTAGAAAAGAAGTTTCATAACTTCTAGAAAATTCAACGGTTTGAAAATTGAGTGTTCTGTAATTGGTAGGCGGTGCAATAATTTTGGTTTGAGTTTAAAATACAAAGCAACATCCCCAATAGGATAAAATCTTGTTGAATACATATTCAATCTTACCGACTACCTTCCACCACATTCCCGGCATCGTCACGGTTCTGCGCTCACACAATTTTCGCAGGACTTTATCACTAGATCACACTGAGCCAAAAATGTTGCGACCAAGCCACAGAAAAAAGACTACCACAGCTTTTTTGTAAATTTAAACGCGGTGATACTCCTGTTAAATCTAGAGTTAATCGACCAGATTTGCCAGTAAATACCCCACACAGTAACTGCCAATTACATGTGACGGGGACATCAAATTTTTTCTAAACCAACGATGATTACCAACACACGATGGCTTTTTCACAACCAATCTCCCGTATTATGTATGTCAGTAGACCATGAAACATTGACGTTCTATCTAACAGCAACGATTTGAAGCATCGAAGTTTTCTCCTGAAATGGTTTGAGTGGAAATAGACATAACATGGCAGATTTGACTCAGTAAAATAAGCTTAACTGACTCGAGAATTCCGAGCAAGTCACCACCGAAAAAATGCCAGATGTTTTAGCTAGACATTCACACGAGCCCCCAGCTAGAAAGGCCACGACGAACACAGACTGGTATTGTCAAAAAAGTACAAGTAAATGCTGCACTGTCGGCGATAGGAAATCAACTTAATGCAGAAACAGTCAAAACCAAACGTATGCATACAATTAAATAGAAAAAAACCGAGCATTCTATCGATACGCGAGATATTAGGTAAGAATCAGCCAAGTGTCACAAATTAGAATCGTAAGAGGAATAAGGACGAATTAAAAGGAAAAACTAAATATATAACCGGGAATGCATGATTGCAGGCGCTGTTGGACGTAGAATGATTGTAGTGGTAGGACTAGGTTAAATGCTTATCACAGCGATTCCATGGGGTTGAGTTCATAGTGGAGACACAAATTAGGAGACAGAAGACACTGGATTCGGCGAAGGACCCATCTGACGCAGAACTCGATCAAGCCAGAACAGCGGACCTCGGAGGTGTATCTCGGCCCAGCAGGGCGTTGAAGTGACATCCTGACGGTGGTATTCTGCACCCCAGCCCTTAACGAAGCTCAAACGAAGAGTGCATACTTTAACAATGTCGTAGACTGCTTCTACCCCCAGGGATACGGTTTGGTGCAGCACACGTGCGAACTCGCTGTTCGAAAAAACTTTGAGAGAACATCCTGGGGGTATTTTGACCACGGTTGTTGGATGAAACCCATGGCTCTCATTGCAAAGGCGAGACTGAACAAAAACGCTGCTATCTGAAAGGCACTCAATGAAAGTATCGCCTGCTACTGTATAGAGGTGGATTCCTTAAAAAAGAAAAGAAGAAATGGATGAGAGAGAGAGGGGGGGAGGGATCAAAACATATTACCCCAGTGTCGATGAAAATTACCTTTGCCAATCTGCTTCCGCGTATTCTCCACGACAGGAGTGCGATTAATGTTAGAAAGAATGCCCAATGAAAACCGGTCCGATGTTTTAGATGGGTTTGTAAATCCATCAACAAGAACGCTGGGTGATGAGGCGAAGTAAGCCTCACCAACACGAGTATTCATTTCGTAGTACACAACGGTACACCAGTACCTTGGCTCCTGGTAAGGAATACTCTGAGCTATATGGTTAAGAGAAATAGAGAAACAGTTCTGATGACCAATTAAAAGTGGGAAATCTTCATGACATTTGTTGCAACGATTCATTGGTTAACTAGAATGATTGATTGTGGAATAAGAACGGAAAAAGCAAGGAAATGAGATTTTTGCAATAAAATGTATTTGGCGAGTGACTTACGATCAGCGAAATCAAAAGTAGAGGCCGTTTGACCTTCTTTAATCGTTGGATATTCACTTTGACGAGGGACGAGAACAGGCGGCAAAACTAGGAAGTAAATTTCTCTAATTTAGCATACCAGGATAGTCAACACGCTTGTAATGATAGGGGTTGATGCAAATCTCCTTCTGCTTTGAATCAAAGGGAAACTGGCAACACTCAAGTGACTTCAATTCGTGATGACTCTGAAGGTCTGGCCAGCGCCAAACTCGACAATAAATAACGTGCGGAAATCCTTTTCTATGAGAAACCTTTGAAGGTTATAAAACTGGGTACAAACTTGAATACGACCATCAAGAGACCTTGGAATGGAGACGCATTCACTGGGTTCACCAGGGTGGGAGAGTGCGTATTGCAACCTATCGACCACACCTTTCCGCTTTTTAAGTTTCTTCACAAGTGTTTCGATAGCCTTCTGAGCCCATTTTGATTCTTCATCACCTTGTTTCCATCCAAGAGCACCCGTAAAGGGTAAATTAAACAGGTCGTTCTTTAGTAGGTCAACAGTTTGGTCCAGCATTTATGAGAAAAGTACCATCCCGAATACACTCACTTAAGTAACGCGCTAGTCCAGTTCAGTGATCCAAAGACAGACAGCAAGGCCATTGAAAATGCATCACTTTTACTAGTTGTTCGAAATTTCACATAAAAACAGTGCGCAAGCAATTTATAAATTTAACCTATGACAAAGTAATGTCTAATCTTGTAAAGGTTAGTAAATGAACGAAAATTCACTTAAAAGGAAATCGGAACAGAAATTATAAGGCGTAAGAGATTTTAATACACATAATAATAAGTTCAAAGAGGTTATCAGAAATATCAGGCTTTTAAGCTTATAATTAGCTGCTAAAATAGCTTTAGGATACCACTGACAAACAACCCTTTATTTCCAAAATATTTATTTTACCGACTCGTCCTATCAGGCTCAAAGACAGAAATGAGGCCATAGAATGATTACCAATATTTAAGCTACTTTATAGCTACAAATTTTACTTTCTGCAAAAAAATCTAAGTTTATTGGTGAATTTATATATTTTGTATTGCATTTCGCAAATACGCTTCACACAGGTGAGTTACCACCGTGGAAATTCCCGTATTAGTGCCTACAGTGCCTTCATAGCCCCTGTTCTGGGTTCTGCTCATTACATTTGTTGTACACTTTGAAAATATGGATATCGTTTAGAGTGGGCCCTTTATTTTTATACTTTAACATTTTTTTTCAAATAGACACATAGAGGTGAAAATCCTAAAAATAGTTCTAAATCGATTTTTGATTCCACTTTATATTCTACAAACCATCCATATTTATCAAAATATGTGTATTATTCAATATCTGTCTGCGTTTTCAAAAATACCAGGAGACGCTTAACTGTTTTTATTTTTCTTTGAAATATCTCTTAGTTGTGGTAGCTTGCGCCAACTTTACGGTTCGCCTGGAGCATAACTATCTTAATCAAAGTAATGTCTTTTCAAATTCTTTCTTTTTTGTGGGTTTCCAATTTTCTTGGCATGTAGGATTTTTTCTAAATGTATCAGACCTTCCTGGAGGAACAAATTGGTACTTTCGGATTTTCCAAAAATCTTTGCGACATCAACTATTTGTTGTCGGAAATTTGGCCTAGAGCCGAGACAGTAAGAAGTTTTTAGCACAAGGTTCAGTTTATCTACTTTTTAGTGAGAGGTCGTTAAATTACCGGATAGAGAGTTCGATGATTTGTTCCTGGGGCCTAGGTAGCATAAAAATTTGTTGAGGTTTCAAAAAAACTCGTACTGTAGAATTTTGCGCTTTTGATTTAAAAAAGAAATCGACCTTTGTCACTCCGGTGATTTATCAGACATGACGGTGCTTCCAGGAAGGGTGAACATGCATCTGTGTACAATTTAATGTGTATTTCGGCAAAATCGTATTTCCAAAAAAATTGATTTCCTTAAAAACAAATTTATGGGAATTTGGAAACTCAAGGTCAGGGGATGCGGCAGATACAGCTGCCGGAATTCTCATTTTAATTCCCAACATTTCCGCAATTGCTGAACACCGCAATCTGCATCCACGAACCAAAGAATCCTTTGCGTCCATTGTGGCATCGTAATTTGTTGCTGTTTCCCAGCCCTCGTAATTTGAGTCATCATCATTTGAACACCGCATGCTCCTGAGTATTTGATTAGGAAAGCCGACCTGTTAGCTATGACTGACCCTCTTGAGAATTGGGCATGTGACCGTGAGCAGACCAACTGAGGACGCCTCCGTTCAGATCATACTCACAGTAATAAAAGGATTGGCCAAAGCTGAAATGCACATTGGTCTGCCACTGATGCCATACGCGGTGTAAATCATTTGCGATTTGATATTCGTGAATATTGGTCCGTGTCGTGAATGACTCTCGCCTCCTCCTCCACCTCCTTCGCTATGAACCCAACAACAATGGCAGGAACGATTTACACAAGCAGCTAAAACGACTCAACACCTCTGATCCGTGCCTTCCTTGATTTCTTCCCAACCTCATTCAGACTGTGCTTCTTTGGCATAATCAAATATCGCTGTGTAAATTAATGTGAGAACATTGCACAAAAAGGTAAATTCACTACAGGCCAGATGGCGCAGACGGACCTGATTGTGTGAACCAGCATTTGCCTCTTCTCCTCCAAACTGCTCTGCTCGTGTCTGACGATGATTCCGAGCAGCTGGTCTTCCAGCGCCGCCTCGGTGATGGTGCAGTTGATGACAATCGCATCGCCGAACACCCTTGGCCCGTACCTCGGATTAGACAGCTTCGTGTTGAGGTAGAGTCGGAAGTTGCAATCGCAGTCGACTTCCTTGTCACCGAGCACCACAAATGTGCAGTTCTGTGTTGTGCAGGAGGATAACGAAGAGGGCGTGAAATGCGACAAAATATTTTGTCACGGGTGTCTGCATTTGCAAATTCATACCTTGTCGCCCTGGATGTTCTTCGCGAGGACATTGTGGATTATCGGATCGATGTACTCGTCGACGTCTTGGAAGAGGAAGGGTGTTCCAAACTTGATGGCCAGTTCCAGGTGTTTCAGGAAGTCAGAGTCACTGAAGGTAGCAACTCTCAGTCCATTGTTCTCCTCCATGCGCTTACTCCACTTTAACTAATTGCGGACAAGTTAGATCCGCCTTATGGGGTAGAAGTTTATTAGCCTTTTGAAATTTATTTTTCCAAACTGAATTTCTGCTTGGAAAACCACCTCCTCTTTCTAGCGAGCTTCGGTATTTTTGCGAAAGGAAGTCGACTTGGCCACACTTGATTTCAGTGTATGATTGCAGATTTTGAACAATAAAACTAGTTTTGCTGGAAACTGTTAACTCTGAATTGTTTATCATTTGCCGCCTGTCAAATTCCGACAGTGGCTAATGCTCCTTCCGTCGAAAAGGCATTCGTCCGTGGCATCAGAATTGCCAGGGGCTAACCCTGGGTACCCAAAATGATTTGTAGTAAACATGCACCATGTTTGTGCGGTTTTTTCGGAACTACACCAAGTTCTTGGAGCATTTAATGTTCTCAATACTTCGAGGTATTTATGGAACCTTATTTGAAAAACATCGCCACAGTACAAAACCATCTAGACTCTCAGGTTCATCGTCCCTATCTCAAGTCTTCATGGGTGACAACGACGTGAACAGGTAGTATTGTTCCGGTGTTAATTTGAGAACGTGTGCACCGATGTATGTCTGCTTTGGCAAAGGGTGTAACCCCTCCAAAATGGAAAGTAAATTTAGAAATTGAGCCTATCACCTGAACACCATTAGTAAGACAACAAAGGCACATGTGAATGACATGGAACCTCTCACTTTTAGGCAGTTAATTCACAGCCACCAGCATGTGACGCCGACTACCTGGTGCTTTCATATTCGCCGTATAAACACGGTCACAAATGAACACATTCACAAGCTCCGAATTGTGGTGACTTCTGAAGCTTCTTTGATCTACCGGATCTGAATCCCCAATAAATCGATTACAAAATCAGAGTTCCAGCTGTCAAGGCATGTTCAAAGTGTTGAACTGTCTCTTGATTCAATTTGATGAACATATTCCAATGAAAACCTGACGTTCCGGCGGATGCTTCAATCAATTTCAGTGAGATTTGATATTTATCTACAGATGGTACCTGCATTTCTAAGAATACTTGCAGGATTGTAAATTTTAATCTGAAGTAGTGCCATTAAGGAATGCAATTTTGATGGAACATTCGTTATACACGAAAGGTCCGTAAATTATAGGTATTTTTAGTAACTTAGGGGCAAAACGGTCTGTTGCCGTGGTCCTTCTCCTTAAATAACGCTTTAAAACGAGTATTTCAATTTAAACTTGCCCGACAAGAATGGATTTGCGCATTTTGTGACAAAAGTATAAACATAAATTTGAAAATAGCACAGGAAATCTACATCTACCACATTTGCTTCCAGATATTCTTCATACAACAGTTTGCTAGAACTACTTGGATCAACTTTTCTCGATAAAATCTGGAAAGATCTAGCTTTCAACAGATGGGATTCTTCAGCAAATGATGACATCACTGGAACAGTAGACCTGATTCTGCATTTTTAAGGGACTTTAATAAAACAAAACGAATGACGCAACTCAGTTTAAATCGCTTAACGCTAAATCAACAATCTTGGTAAGTGTATTCTCTTGGTGTCTTGGAGATTGAAAACGTGCGCATATTATGTTGGCTAATGATTAAAATGAGAATCACAGGCACAAAATTAAACTCGTGTGCACAAATCGCCCACAAACAGTTCTACTAACGTCACTGGACACTACGTAGACACTACTAGAGCGACCTGTTAGCCAGGCTCATTGGCTGGTTCACCTCGTATGTGCACACGTAATTTTGGAGGTATCATCCTTGGACTTCTAGACGCCATTATTTTGCTAAACGCCCCAAATTACCCGCCGCACCACAAACAACACATTCCACGCGTTTGCACACACACACACACCCACACATATTTGCCATTGCCGCCCGTCCAATGGCACACGAGTGTGTGGTGTGAAGATAATTCCCAGCGCAAGTTGTGATTGGCGCGTGCAGGCTGGTTCATTGATCTCGAGCGTATTGAACCGAAGCACGGAAGCACAAGCAAACTACCTCGCATCCAATTGGGCTCCAGAAAGTGCACCAGCCAATCAACAGAGAGATCTGGTAATTACTTTGTGTAACTGTATTATCCACTTCTTTGCAGTGAAAATGTCCAACAAGTGCGGTTCCTGTGAAAAGCCCGTCTACGCCGCTGAGGAGCGGCGTTTTGGAGACGTTGCCTACCACAAGCAATGCTTCAAATGCTGTACGTTCACTCTCTTATCTGACTGCTACATTGTAAAAAAAGTAGACGGCTGTTTGATTGCATCTTTCACTTGTTTAAGAGACCATACTACGCCACAGCGCAATTTCTTGCTAGAGAAACACTGATTTAAATTTACTCGATCTAATTGTTCGAACGAGCCAATCCAATTTAATGAGGTCTCATCTGAAGGCCCTGAAGCATTCATCCAGAGATCACAGCAGTTTGTAACGAATCGCACTGGAGTTGCGATTGTGGACCACGCAAATTCATCTAATCATCAGATTTAGTGGTTGATAGGGTGTGTGTTTTTGGTGTTGCAGCGATGTGCAACAAACCGGTGGACAGCACAACTGGCGCTCAGCATGAACGCACCCTCTACTGCAAGACCTGCCACGGCCGAGAATTCGGACCGAAGGGCTACGGCTTCGGACAGGGCGCAGGGGTCTTGAACACCGAAAAGGCCAAGGGGCCTGGCTCGGACGGTGCTGCTGCGTGAGTTCCTTTTTTACACAGCTCCCCATTAAGTAATCATGATTACCTCACTGCAAATGAGCCGCAACCTGGACATAGTCTGCATTCATTGGCACTAGTCGAAGTGTTTGAAAATCGTTTCAGTCAGATGCTACGTGAGTTGTCGCGCACCCGTTTTATTCCTGATCATTACCCTGTTCTGTAAATCGATTGGGAGAAATGTCGATTCTCTTCTCAATGCCTCAATGTCGGTTAAACATTCTGTTTGTATACTCAAAGTTACAGCTGTGGCCAATTAGATTAAATTGTGTTCCACCACCACCACCACCACCACCACCACCACCACCACCACCACCACCACCACCACCACCACCACCACCACCACCAC